TCTTTTCTAGTCTAACAAGCCCAGAGTTCTTGGGGAAAAAAACTATATATTTTTTCTATTATTTTACATGCAAAACTGCTGGTACATGAGCCCTTGACTATGGATAATGAGGTATCATCTTATTTACACAACCCAGCCACATTATAGAGCTAACTTTATATCGTGAGAGAATGAGCAAAGGATCAAGGGAAATATGAAAGCTGGGCCGGAACAAGAGGAAAATTGGTTTTCTATCTGTTAATGAATGCAAGATCTCCAAACTCACACCATACATCACCATACTCTTCCCTAATTGTTTAATTAATAGTTTTTACAACCTTCCTCAATCTGAAAACTCTAGTCAACATGCATGGAAGATAAACATGGCTTTTTAAACTATCATATAACCTGGAGGCAAGTTTTACTCCCTAATCTTATTTAGATAGCCATGTTGGACAAATGTGAGCTTTGACTGGCATAAACCTCTTCTTTTCCTTTCCACTCCTTCCTCCCCAAATAGGAGTCTTCATGGGGGCCCAGCCGCTGCCCTTTGCTGCCCAGCCCTCAGCTCATTTTCCAGCGTTTCCAGCCATGGGAGGCCCTGTACCTGTACCAGTGCCACCAGCCCCCGCAATGATGGGAAACATGATGGCCCCACCAGTGCCTGTAATTGGACAGAATGTAGGCATGATGGTGGGCATGGGAATGCCAAACGGCTTTTCAGTCACTACACAAACTGCTGGTTTGGGACTCCCTCAAAGCATTGGTGGGCCCCAAGGAACAGTATTGGGACAGATACCCCAGCCACAGAAATACGGCATGCACCCGCAAACACAGCAAACTCCGTGGAACCTTTCACAGGTGAGTATGTGCTTTTGCTGTTAGTTTGGCAGAGAACATGGATGCCCGGAGAATTTAGGGGTAGGATTCAAATGTCAGTAATTTGGATTAATTAAATGAGGAAAAATTAACTGAAGCATTATATTAAAATGAGAAAATCAGCTATTTGAAAAATCTGATTTTTTTTTCTCCCTTCTAGTTGAGAAGTAGTAACCATGTTACTACTACTAATTTTTCTACTTTAGAAAACTACGTGCAGATCCATTCTTGCTCTTCATTCACTGCCAGGCTCTCATTCCCAGCCTGCTGGAAAGACACCGTGCACTGTTTATTTCAAACAAATAAACAGTGCAGGATGTTGTTGTTTTTAATCGGAACTCTCTTGAGCCCTTCAAAGCAGATGGCCGAAGAGTTTTGTTCCATTCTAGGAGCAGCCCCAGTTCTGATCGGCTGCAGTGCCTGGCCCACCTCCTCTCCCCAGCATCTGGTTGCTGCCCTGGGAAGCTGTTTCATCTTGGGCTAAGCGATTGCTGACTTTAAAAAAAAAATTAGACTTTGTGTGTGTGGATGACCTACTGATTATATTTAGGATGCATTTCATAAGTACATTTTTTAAAAAAACTTTAGCTGTGAGAAATTAACGTTGTAAGCAAATACACCAGTGCCTATCTGCTAGCTAGCTATATCTGTACCTATCCTGTCTATTTATATGTATACCTATATCAATCTATCTGTCTCTCTGTCTGTACCTATCATCCTGTCTTGTCTTGTCTGTCTGTCTATCCTGAAGTAATGGGCTTCAGTATAAAATGTGAATGTTTTGTTAACTGCATCTAACCACAGTCTTGTGTGTGTGTTTCACAGATGAATCAGCAAATGGCTGGAATGACTCTGAATAGTTCCAATAATATGATGGGCTTTGGCCAACCGCCCAACACAGTGGCAGGATGGACTGGAAGTTCCTCAGGCCAAACCCTCAGTACACAACTCTGGAAGTGAAAAGGCAATAGAAGTTCAAATCAGAGACCTGACATTCCATGCCCAAATACATCTAGTTTCCCTGTTCTATCCATGTACACGACCCCTTCCTCCAATTTCAAACATTCATTTTAAAAGTAATCTTAACTGACCATGTTGTGGTCTGTACTGACTTCAATTCTGATGTAGTGAAAAGCAAGTTGAATACATTGGCAGCTTTTTTTCATTCCACGATATGTTTTGATTTTGCAAATCTTACTTTTCAGAAAAGCTACGTGACCAACTGCATACTCAAAATTATTTTATCTTGTAGAGCAAATGTTTCCATATAAGGGAAATAGGTATCATGTTAGTGCTATCTCTAAAATGTAAACTCCACCCTGCAAATTACCCAGTAATCCTGTAGAAGGTACTGTATGAACCAAACATTACTTATATAAGAATGTACCTTGTATCATTGAAATATGCATTTCCTTGTGTGATAATGATTTTGTTTCATCATTCATTTCACTGTGATATTATAATGATGTGACGAACGGGGAAATGGCTCGCAAGAGAGAGAGAAACCTGGAAGGTCTTTGGGTTCCATCAATTTTCTTTCCACTGTTTGAGTTGCCTGTGTCAAAAGAAGCTGATCTGACCAACAGAGAATCTGTACAGAATTAATCAGCCGTGTACTGCACAGCAACTATACAGGGTAACTCAAATTATATATTTAATTTTGTCTTTGCAGTTGTATCCAGGTTTCTGCCAGTAAATTGTGTTTACATTTTATGGTGCCTCATATTGATAAGCGGTTGCTTCCCTATATTAAAGAAATCCATAAACATTGTGTAATTATTTTATTCTATAAGAATTGTGTCTATTCTTTAAAAACAATGCTTTTTAAATTCAGGAATAAAGCCTGGAAGCCACGGCGTAAAAGCTTCTCTTTTTTTTTTTTTAGACTAATAACTTCAGTGCATTACCACCTCTTCACTGAACATGTGTAAAGGAAAAGGGAACAGTTAGAAAATTAAAGCAGGACAGAGAAATGCATGCAAAGTAAATGAAGCCTAAATAGACACATCTTCAGCTATCTGCCAGTGGTCTTCCATTAGGCTGCCAAAGGCTGCAGTAGTACAATAGCAATTTGTACAGTCTGAATATGGTAAGCATGTCCCATTTACGCCAACAGGTCACACTTCAATTCTGATATTGTCCAGGTGATACTTTGGCTCATTAGCTAGATTTACCTTTTCTGTTCTAGTATGCCATACGAGAACCTGGAAAAAGTTGAACAAAAAGCATTAGTTGGCATTGATTCTCCACAAGTTGACTAGTGGGGACTAATGTCCATTGTGGAAATAACAAACACTGATACCTTTGTGCAGTTGCTGGCTTTGGGTTCCAGTTCCTCCATTGTGATAATCTGCCTCAGAAAGTCAGATTCCTGCATCCCAGGCTGTGAGCCGTGGCGCCTAAATACAGCTTTCGGGTTGGATAAAATCACCTGAAGGCTTACAGCAAACCCTTTGGAAATCAAATATTAAAGAATTAAAATCATTTCATAAACATATTGAACTCTAGAATTAGTTGCGAGGAAGTGTTTAACCCTACCATTTCAAATAAGTTCCCAAGTATTTACTCAGTATCATGCAATGGTCTATCATGCTGTTACGTATACAAACTGACAGGTGTGCCATAGGTCACTTTTATTCTAAAAAGTTACAAGCTGTGTTCCTCCATATCTGTTTAACAACTTTACATGGTTTGTTAAAGTTTAAATAGTGACAGTCATCATAAAAGAGTTTCCATATGAACAAAAGGGAAAAGGTGAGATCAACCAATGCTTCTTCCCTGACACCATCTTTGTAATTAATTTAAAATTTAAGCTGAAGGCAAATGTAATTGTTCAAACAAAATAAATGTGACTGACTGAATTTACATGTAGACCTTTTTTCCCCATTTTCATTAAAACCAAAACCCACATTATCACTACTTTTAATATGTGACATAACCTATCCTTAAATGATGTAATTCTTAAGTGATGCAAAACCAGGTTCTGAAAAATTAATGCTCCAACACTGGAGGTTCTTTAGAAGAGATTGGGCAACCATTTGTCTGAAATGGTATAGAGTTTCGTACTTGAGTTGGACTAGAAGACCTCCCTTCCAACTCTGTTATTCTGTAATTCTGTTAATGTTTATTACAGAGTACCTCTGGTTTTGTTAGCCTTTTCTTTCAATAAAAAGTTTCAAGGAATGCCTCTCTGTACAGTCACAATTTGCAACCTTTGAGACCTTAACCAAATTATACTTTTGAATGAGACACTAAAAAAAAGTATTAATTGATTGGAAAGTAATCTCATTCTATCTTAACTGACTTTAAACGCAAATCTAGTTTTCGTCTTGACTCTACCACTTTAGAAAAGTAGCCATTTGACTTCCATCCCCCAAAATAAAAAATATTAGCCCATAGTCCAAGTAATTTTGTGCAGTTCTAGAATAAAAATGGCATTTCATCCTTAACATTATTTCTGTTAAAGCTTTTAACTTAATTGTGGAGAGCCTGGCAAACATTAGTACCATTTAAATGAACATATTTTGAAAGAACATTACATTCGAAACAAAGTAATCATATATGATGAGATCATTGACACTCAGCTACTGTTGGTTCTTAAGTCTGAAATTGGTGTGGAGCTGCTTTTAAAACACAGGTGTCAAACTTGTCACGTCATGTTGCCGTCATGTGATGTTTCATGACATTTTTCCCATTCACGGAACTGGGTGTGAGCTTGGTCTGCACGTGACTCATCCAGCCCATGGGCTGCCAGTTTGACCCTCCTGTTTTAAAAGGTGCTTATCACAGCTAAAGACTACAATCTTTATAAGATACCATTGCTGTTAAAAGTCAGAAAGTTCTTAAAAGATACAAGAACAAAAATAGTGACTCCCTACATCTACCAGTATTTTTATTGTTGCATCCATTTTGTTAGCTGCAATGGGACCCATCTGTAAGAATTAAGAATTAGAAACAACCTGAAATATAAAGGAGTACTGTCATCTGAGTAACACACTGCACAATCCCTTGCACAACATCTCAGCATCATGTGGGGCTGCAAAACTTAGTAATGCACACCATCTTTTATAGATGTTATTCACTAGTTCTTCTGAAGTAGCACTTATTCTATTTCCAAATTAAGATGAAAGGGAGACCTTATGGAGGAAGAGAAAAGGAAGGTGATTGGACTAACGAAGTAGAAAGAAAAACTATTTTCTTTTTATCATCTTCAAGGTATTATGGGACTCTTAGCATTCTGATTGAGTCTCCTATTCACTGCGCACAGAACTCTTTACAGCCATTATCAAGACAAATTGGTAATCTGCATTTTTTCAAATAAAGCTGCTACTAGAATTAGGTATAGGGTAATGGCAGCCTGAAGGCAACCAGTTGGCTTTCAAAAACTTTAAAAAGAGTTAAATATATCTTTAAGAATCCTATTACTTTTAAAAATAACAAGAATTAAAATTGGCTACTTAAGGAATAATGTAACTCTTCCTCATTAAGTCCTGAGTGGGAAGTTCGAGATGGCCTTTGGTTTCATTTTTGAACAGCCTACCTAATATAGGAATGAATGTTGTGAAATCTGAGCTACAATCTGCAGCAATTTTTTTTGCTGCACATAATATGCAGCTAATGAAAATTCTAGAGCTGTTGAAAAAAATAGCAGTGTTATAAACATCCTGAAACATGTCTATAGGAGATCATCTTCACAACTCTGCCAAAGGGAAAAAAATCCCCAGGCATTGAGCTCAATTTGAGGGTGCCTTTTCTTTTTAATAAGCCACAACTACTTACAGCTTCCAAAATGTACAAAATGGCTGTATTCAATGATGTTTAAGCAATATATTTACCTGGTTTTATATAAGGTGTTATATAAAAACACCAACCTTCTACTCCATAACCTTGTTGTAGAAACTAACCTAGAAGTAATCAATGTTATCCTCAAACAACCTGGGACTTTTTGGAGATAAACTGACTCTTCATGCCTCGGTTATGTCATCAGAACAAGGTAGGAGTATGAATCTGTTCTTCCTACTTCCAAACACCAATATCAGCTTCCTTCATTGGGGCCCTTAAGGACTCAGGCTGGTAGTTGAATGGGCCATCAGTTATCAAGTGCCATTTGCGCACAGGATAAATCAGCTTACCAAGGGAGCAACTTGATCAGGGAAGTCATGCAAATCTAGCCCCTGAGGCATTTTTATGCAAGGTTGATGAATATAACAGCCTATATTCAATCCGGTTCCAAGTATCCCATCTAAGAATTTTGACAGTCACCTCTAATGACTGAATACAAGCTATAGACCTGATTCACACACTGTACTAATTAGGTCATAATGTGATTTGGTTAATTTTGGCATAGTATATTGCATAAATTCCGCCACTGTTTACAAAGTGTATTTTATAGCTTTGCACATTGCTTATTTATTATGATTATTTATATCCTGTCTTTCAGTGTAACAATCTTCCCAAAGCAGTTTACAAGCAATATAAACAATTTTAAATGAAGACAAATACAGTTATAGAATCCTTCCCATAGAATAATTTGTAGTAAGAGCCTGAAGAAAGGGAGAATGTAAGTTGGGGAAATTCAGCAAATTACGGTTTATTCAATCAATATGATTAAATGAACTGTAGCTTAGGGCATTGGACCATTTCAATTTGCTCAATATTATTCATAATTAAAAAGTACAGAAGCTGGTGCTGGAGTGAAGTAACTCTTAGTAATTCTCCCACTATTGTTATTTTAATTTGCTAAGCATTTTATAGAAATTTTTTAATAAGCGAGATCATTTCACCAGCAACGCATGAATAAAATGCAAAGCAGGAAATATAAATCATTTGTCTGTATGGCCCCCTCCTCACCACTCTTCTAGCCACACTCCCATGAATCAAAGTTCAAAACTTTATAGAGTTGTGCAAGTATAAATCTATGACTGCATCAAAAGCAATTCAGACAGCACTTGAAATGCCTTTAGCATACACAAGAGACTGACCAAGCATGAAGGCTACCTGATAGGACTATGTAGTCTGTGATACAGTTGAAGATTGACAAGATTAATTTTTGAAGTGTTCTTGCTTTCCTGGCTATTGTCAACTTCTCCCTTAAGCAAAGCGTTTCAAGCTGTTCTCTGCCTACAAATCACTCTCACCAGGTTTTCTGGCAAGTTGTGCAAAATTATTCATCTTTCTGATGAATTAGCAGTTTTTACACTTAAAAGTCACAGCAAGGGCCTCTTAGTTGATGGAATATTGGCAACAATATGTTGCTTTGCAAGGCAGTTTCTAGATTAGGGATCCCTTTTTAAAAAAACAAACAGCATCAGCACAGACAGAAAATTGGGTTTTGGTGGGGCTTTGCAGTGTGGTGGCCAAAATGTCTGATTCAACTCAATTCAGAATTGAATTGAGTAGGGAATTCGGTATATCATCTGGATATAAATGAACCTGGTAACCTTGGCTGTTCCTTCAGTTCTTTGCTAAAAACGTTACATGATGGCTTTCATTGAACAAACCTGGGATGAGTGGTGATCCATTAAGAGGCCAGTGAATGTTATGAGGGTGCTCCTAGCAATAACAGACAGTTAAAGTTATTACAATAAAATCCATAGTTTATTAATCCCAGCATTTTCTACAAACTTCTGCTTGAACCTTTATCAGAGGCTGCTGATAAATAAGCATTTCATAAAAGCTGAAGCTACCAGAATTCTAAGAGACTCTGCTCACCATAAGACCCAGGAGTTTGCAAGCTTGTACTTATTACTTCAATAACTAGAAATGTTAATATCTAGTCCGCCCATTCTACCTTAATAGCTGAGATTCTGAAGAGATACTCACCTGCCATATCGATGGCGAAAGGCCTACCTGCCCGCCAACCAGTGTACCAGCCAACAACTTTGCCTTTTTCCACAATTGGGCGCTCGTAGCGTCGGCCCCCCACTAGCCCTACGGGCCACACAGAGACTTTGCTAGTGGTACGCATCTAAACGAAGAAAGCAGAACATCTTTTTCAAAAACAGGTTCTTTACAAAGATACCATGGAAAGAATAGTCACAATTTTTAATGACAGGGCTCTACATAGCGTCTCTTTCCTTATCTAATGCTTTCCAGATATATTCAAACTATGAAGTTTCCCAACTCTGCTTCAGGAAAACGTGGTAACTTCAAGCCTTTCTCTAAACCAATCTTTCTCAAGTTTAGCTACTTTTAAGATATAGCTGCAAGCTGACTGAGTAATTCTGAGTATTGAAATCCACACATATTTTTAAGTTGCCAAGATTCAGAGATGCTGTTCTAAACTTTAATTAGCACTATCAATAATTCTGGGCAAATGAGCAGCTGCAGTTAGTTGCAAACAGAAATAAAGGCTTTAGACAGGGGTGTCCAACCTCGCAAACTTTAAGACTTGTGGACTTCAACTCCCAAAATTCCCCAGCCAGCCATCTTAAAGCTGCCAAGGTTGGACACCTGTGCTTTAGACAGTAGCACCAACCTTTTGGGCCCCAGGCACCGGTTCCGAGAAGAGGTTTTTCCGTGGACCGGTGGGCATAGTTTCACATGTCTGCATCCCATGAATAGGGCTTTGCTTGATTGTGCGGCCTGTTTCCTGGCATGCCATGGCCCGGTACTGGTCCATGGAGTGGGGGTTGGGAACCCTTGCTTTAGCGGATGACTAGAGGAGGCAAGTAGTCAAGCACAAGACTTTGGCAGCTTGTTCTGAAGTACTAAATTGATAAGATTTATTGCAGGCAATTTTTAGCATCAGATGTTTTTGGAAATCACATTTATATGACTTAGAACTACAGAGGTAGAATTCAACTTTACTAAATTCAGGATGTGATATCTATTCTGAAAGGAATATCATAACGGTACAAACTTTTTCTACATAGAATATCCCATTAAGGGTCATACTCCAAAATTTAGAGGATGAGTTCATAACAAAAAAATTTTTTTGTTCATTTCTGTTTACATTTAATGATCATAACAGCTAGTTTTCACCAGGCTAGAAAGCGTGAGACCGAGAGTTCTAGTATCGCCTTAGGCATGAAACCAGCAGGTGACCTTGGACCAGTCACTTTCTCTCAGCCTGAGGAAAGAGGCATGTGCAAGCCATTTCTGAAAAACCTTGCCAAGAAAACTGCAGTCTCTGACAATGGGACATAACTGAATGGAAGAAGAAAAATATAATATTCTATTTTTTTCATAGAATTAGGGAAGATCAATGGAAACTTTGATATTCACAAAATAATAAAATGTAATCATTGGTGTGAACCTTGGAGATCATGAAGTTTAATCCCTTTGCCAGTGCAAGATTCATTTAAAAAAAACATATCATTAAAGAATTGTGCCAACAGTCCGTGTCTAGCTGTCTTCAAGAGGACTACATTTTTGTCATAACCCAGTGAGACATATGGAAGAGCACCAAGGAATATCCCAGAAGATAACAGCAAAACTTTCCAATAAAGCTGTCAAGAAAATTACATGGATACAAAGTTGATTCAAAAAAGACATTTTTTAAAGGTTAGTAAACAGATAATTCTTTGCATTAATTATTTAAGATGTAAACACTATGCCTTGGAAGTATTACTGCCACTAAGGTATTATAAAACATTATGCTAGCCTCTTGTACTTAATAAAATGCAAGAATACAAGCATTTGGGTAAACCTCATGCATTATTTAACCTTCCTCGAAAACCAATTTGGTACAGAGCTTTAGAAACATAAAAAAAGAGAGCACCATTAAAAAAAAACCTGAATAATCAAAACCTGGTTTACTAACAAATTGAAAAGTATATTCTGCTTCAGCTGATTATATAAACCAAGATTAATGCTCTTAACGCTTGCTCAGCTTTCAATGTCCCAATGTACAGCCATTTTCTTCCTTCATTGTGAACACAGACATTACATTCCTGCAGGCCTGTGTATAACAAATACACAGATTGTAGTAAACCTGTCTATTAAAATCTTGAACCAAAGAGCCATCTGCTCTTTTGCTTTTAAACAAAACACCTTTTTAGGACCCTCTGCTTGGCTTCTACTTTTTTCTACTATGTTGTATGATACTTTCTCCCAGGATTGAAAGCATGAATGATTCTTTTTCAGACAGAGCTCGACTCTTTCTGAAGGAAGACTCACATAAAAATGAACAAATGACAACCAATTTATGTTACCTTTTGGCTCCTTTGTCATTCGAAAAATAGCTTCCCTTAATTCAAAGCAATTATTTTCAACAACTCAAGCAATTATTTCCAATCCAACCTATGCTAATGTTTACTCACCTGCTGCTTTCACATCCCTTACTATAGGTGGTCCTTGACTTACAACCATTCTTAACAACGATTAAAAATTACGACAGCCCTGGAAAAAGATCTTATGACTGATCCTTGCATTTATGACCATTGTAATGTCCCCATTATTTTGTGATCCAAATTTGATTGCTTGACAACTGGCATGTATTTACAACAATGGCAACATCCTCAGATCATGACTTTCCCAGGGGGATTCTAACAAGCAAAGTCAAAAAAAGGGGGGGGGGACCAGATTCACTTAATGACTGTGTCATTCACTTAGCAACTGCAGCAAAAAAGATCATTAAAAACAGGCATGACTCAAGTAATGCATCCCTTAGCAATGGAAATTCCAGTTCCAGTTGTGGTCATAAGTCAAGGACTACCAATATACTATAGAGTGATGCTACTCTTAATAGAAAATTTAGTATCAAGAACACCATGACTTCACACACTGTAATGCCCAGTTCTGGCTCAGATGATTTGAAATTTAAGGACATATTTATCAAAATGCCAAAAGGTGTACAATGTCTTTGTATCCATTGTGGAATTCCTTCACAGCTTGCCTCCCACCTCAGCTTCCACTTGTACATACTAAACATAACTCCCAGACTTCGAACTGAAGATAAAGCAGGACAGCATGCATGATGGCCTTATTTTTCAGTCAAATGTCTTTTCTCTATATAAACGGTGATTGATGAGGGTGAAACATCTGTACCACAGCTCCAATCAGACTTGTAGCCACACAGTGCCTTAAGTCATTTAATGGCATCTTTATGCAGGAATTTGCAAGAATTTGTTAGATATGATCAGCTCCTGTAACAAGACTTGTTTGTCTGGATAATTATGGGGATAGGGTATGGGGATTATTTGATACAAGATGACATGGCACATAGCCATTAAAGTGTGTACATCATGGCTTATACTTTGGCAAACCTTGTTTAATCCCAGGTCTGGTTCAAAAAAAAAAAGCATGTCTTGTTTCACAAACCATTGTTAAAATAATCTATAGCTTGGTGTAAATGCAAGGTGTAAATGCAGCTAGAACCTGCAAAAGCTATATTTCAAAGACATCTTTTCAATTCAACCCTTGAGAAGATGAACACTGCAGCTGTTGCTGCCTTATGCATGGGTGTCCCTCAGTTTCTAGAGCAGGGGTGTGAAACTGGCGACCTGTGGGCCAGATGCGTCATGCGTAGGCCACGCCCACCCCAGTTCAGCGAATGGGGAAAAAGCCACAAAACATCATGTGACGGCAATGTGACTCTAGGAGGTGAAGCAGCAGAAAAGATGTTTGTTGTAGAGCAGAGGCCTCCAACCTTGGCAACTCTTAAGACTTGTGGACTTCAACACCCAGCTTTGCTGGCTGAAGAACTTTGGGAGTTGAAGACTACAAGTCTTAAAGTTGCCAAGGTTGAAGACCCCTGCGCTAGAGCACTTTTTATAATATTTGAAGGTATCCCAGCTCCAACAGTGGCTTTTCAGGAATGGGAGAGACTAAACACATGTTCACATCTAAGGTAGGTTGATCTGATCTGCAACAGTCCCCCCCCCTCTGCACTCACCCAAACAAGTATCCATGGGGACAAGATCATCTCTAATAAATTCTGGCCCTTCACAAAACATTGTCCTCCAGGTTTCGTAAAGAGCTCTGGAGTGGTATCCTGTTTATACTCCTACCTGTATTTGACATGTAAAAGCCTGCCACTGCAGGGAGCCTGTGAGAGCTGGCTTAAGGAATCGCAAGTACAGTGGCTATAAAGCATCTGTTAGGCTGCTCACAGTTCTCTAATAGAGCTACTGAGACCAGAGACCAGAGAGTGGTACTGCTTCTTAATCAGTTTGTGGGGGAGGAAAGGGGAGAGAACAGCAACCTGACAGTAACGTCTTCTCTCCATTCTGACTCCAAAATATGAACTAGGCATCAAGGCCTTTTCTTATAAATTGCTGCCTGTCTTCTATGGGGACTTAACAAGTTTCTTAGAGCAAAACCTCAGACGAGGGAAGAACCAATTGCGCTTGCTGACTCTCTCTCCCTCTCTCTCTTTTTAAAGAATGGCTGTTGTTCCCTAAGAATGAAAGTGCAACATTATCCACTGCAGAATTCTTGCATAAAGATAAGTGACAGTAAAGATCAGATGGATCCTATTTTATTATCTATCACAACACCACCAATACTGCAGTTTTTGATGTATCACATTGCATGAATTATCTTAAATCATCCAGAAAAGTCAACCCATAAGGAGGAACTGACGATCATTACCTGGAATAAATAATTTTAAAGACATTTTCGAAGACTTCATATTTTTTTAGTCCATAAAATGCTAAGTATTTCAAATTTTAAAAAACCAGAATTAAAACCTAGTGGCATTAGGCTTTAGACTTCCTTGGCAATCCATTCCAAAAGCAGGAAGAAAAATTTAAAATATGTGTAAAAACACCGTTTAATTTAAAACTCCAAAAATTACATTCTCAAAAAGATTTTGCTTGAAGGAAACGAATGAATTGGGGAGAAGGGAAGGGGGTTGCATAAATTAAGTAGGGAAATTCTGAAAGTTAAAATGATAATTTTGAATCAAGTGCAATTGAAGTTCTATAACCAAAATTTATAACTTCTCAATTTTAAAATACAGGTAGTCCTCAAGACCACAATTGGGAACCAGGATTTATATTGTTAACTAAGGTGGTTTTGTTA